TGGCATGGCTTTTAACTACCTTTACATGAGGTGAAGAGATCGATTAATTGCATTTAAAGAGTGTTGAATGAATAACATGTATGTTTGGTACACATCTTTCTCGTAACGTACTGTATTTGGAACAAATCAATGCAAAATGGAATATTGATATTTCATTTCAGCAAATCCTTTCATATCTTGGAATATTATCTCAGTGTCCCTTTATTATGCGGATGTAGACACGTTTAAAACAAATGCTTTTAGATGAGAATACAACCGCTTTATTTATATGCTGCCTGTGCTATACTAACCCAAACATTTTGGGCATTTTTTCCAAGAGTGCATGTGCTCGTAAACTCATGTTCTCTTCGAAAAACCTTAAGATGAAAAGACCGACTTTTCATAGTCATCTAAATTATTATATTAGGTTATATTATTTTCTTCATACTAAAAACGAGTACATTAAAGGTAAACTTGATTCTGACGTACCACGTGAGAAAAGTTAAGGGCGGATTGGATAAGAATTGTATTCTCACCACACTCTATGTTTGTGAAGTGATACATTTCATTGAGATAATATACAGTGACAAGTCAACAAATTGTTAATTGCTTCCAGCTGACTATTTTCAGGTGAAGACCATCAACCCGGGCTCCGCGGAAAGTGTCACGACGCATGGTATGACATCTTCCGACACTGAGGGGGTATTAGCGCATAACCGTCATGTGTTATGGCGAGAGAGCTGGCATCCTTTATCAGTTTCTCAATAAATGCAGTGTGATAAGATCGTATCAGTTGACAGTGCACATACCCACGAACATATGATATTTTCTTCTCCCTATGATTCGCCATGGGTGTCCGTTGCCTCCTCTCAGTTTTGCTCGTCTTCCTCCTCGTGTAGAATTTGGTCAATAAACACGATGTCATCAGAACACATAATCTGACCCACGGTTTAGCAGTAGCTTGCTGCTAATTTTTCAAGGGGCCGATCTGTGGAAGGGCGTGTGTTTGTGGCGGGTGGGGGTGAGGGGGGGGGGGGGGGTATCCAGCAAGTCCAGTTTCTTCTGTGTGTTTTTTTTTTCTCAACAGCTCCGATTAAATATAAAGTTACAACTCTGTATGATCACAGTAAAAATGTGTTTAGATCTAAATCCTAAATGGTTAGGGTTTCAACATTTGTAGGATTGTGTTTAACATGCTAAACGTGTTTCGAGTCTAAATGTGGGAAGACTCGAAGTAATCAGTTACACTTCCATTGTTTTGCAAGTACATGTGAATCTGATTGGCACATCTAATTTCAATATATATTCCACATCATATTTACATTTTACTTTATGCCCAATGATAGGCACTTCATTTAAACATGTTTAGATTATTAGGATAATACACAATGGTTTGCATTTTATCGTTAACATGTTTAAAGGTTAAACCAAATGTGTATTCCGCTTAGGATTTCAACCGAAACATGTGTTGTATGTATTTTCATTCTAAACTCATTTTACAGTGTAAGTACCATGATATCTAATCTGAAATTAACCATTCTCATGTGTGGTTAAGAAATACGTGCACCAATAACTGTATGACATGTACAAGGCAACAACGGGAAGTTTCCTCAGAGGTCAAAAATACATTTACATGAATACATGATATAAAAAAATATTTTCACTTTAGGCATTTATTCACGTTGGGCCATAATATAGTAATTTTAGAGACCGGTAGAGTAGGATATGCACACCCTTTTCGCGAATTTTCGTGATCCACTCATATAACGTCAAGGGATTTGGAGCTGAACCTTACATTTCAAGTTATATTCCCCGCTGTGGCAGTAGAGCCCTGCCTCTGTTTCCATGCGGAGTATGACCGCCTCCGTGGTCTTGTGGTAGAGCGTCCGCCCGGAGAGCGGAAGGTCCAGGGTTCGATCCCGGGCCGCGTCATACAAAAAGACGTTAAAAGATTGTACTTGTTGTTACCCTGTCTAGCGCTCGGCATTAAGGGGCTAAAACAAGGACTGGTCGGCTCGGAGTCAGTATACTGTGTCTGAGTGGGGTATTCATGTTAAACTGCGGCATGGTATCTCAGTGAGCTAGCACTATAAATCGGCATCAGTCCGGACTAGTACAAGCAGCCACACACACACATACACGTGCATGCACGTCGCTATATAAGTGCAATAATCTTGGACGCGACGTTAAACCCAATTTCACCTCACCACCTCCATGCGGAGTATAAACATGTGGAGTATAGCCTCACTACACGTATGAACAGGCCTGCACTGCAATAAGCCACAGTGGCACGCCAAGAAGTAGTATGTTTTAATTGTAAGAATGTTGTAAAGGATGAGATGCACGTGGTTGTACATTGCACCTGAAAACCACCAAAACTGCTGCTTCTTTCATGTCGAGTTCTAAATAGTGTGTTTTAACATATGTCAGATGCTGATAAGTCATATAAAAATGGGAAAGAATACTATCTGATGTCTTGTAGGAAATATTCAGAGGTAACGCACTTCCTTTTAACAGAGACCATATAATAGATAATAGATATTATGTGGTCTCTGCTTTTAAGCTTCTCTTTCCTTTAAAACATATTATTTTGAAGGCTTAAACATCAGAGAAATACTTAGTCTACTTTCTTTAAAACAATAAACCAGGTAACATAGAAATAATCTGCTATCATGTATACAGCTTCAAACAAATCTGAAATACTTATAGATATTCCTAGGTCATAACTTAATATTTTGTATTGGTACTTTGTATTGTTATCTTACTTGTTATGTATCTGTTTACATAGTTTATAGAATATTGTCACTGTCTTGTATCTTGTATCTAATGTCAAGCCCTAACGTGCTACAAAAAAGTATTGCCACACATGAGTGCAATCCAGAAAAGGAAGCTACGAGTACATGTATATCGTCATTAAATAATTTCATTTTTATGACTATATACTATTTATGTATGTTTTATTACGCAGGTCTTAAATCAAAATATTACAACATCCCAAGATAAACACGGAAAGGGGCGTGAGTATGTGTACTAATATCACGGCACTCAGACTCCGCCTTTTAATTTAACTAACCAACCGCTGTCGCGCTGAGATACCGATATATATCCGATTTGCCTTTGATTTTTTCATCACTACTTCCACAAAAATATCACACGTTTGCTTCCAGTTGATTATCTTTGAACCTCTTATTACCATGGCTCCCAATTCTTCCCGGTGGTGGATGACAGCAGTCAGCTCCAAGAAGTTGTGTCTATACTCTGATAAGGGGTGTAGGGGGCAAATAATGGACATGGACAAGGCTACCGACGCAGATATGGTGAAGGTGAGGCTAATGAATTACTCATATTTAGAATGTTATAAGTGTTTATAAAAAAACACAACATTTTGCGAGGGCGGTGTAGGCATGTCACAGATAGGTTTGAATTATCTCCCATTAACGGGTTACAATTTCAGAATGAATACAAGTAGCCAATGTAAAACAAATGTGAATGCTTGAGGAAGAGTGGATAACATACCGATCAATCTTCTTATAACATGTGCTTCGATCTCCAAATATTGACGCAATTTCAATGTTTCGTTTAGTCTTCTCACAAGTTTCCTTTCTTTTGTTTCTGCCACATTATTATCTGCAAGGTAAGAGATGGGGAAATAGGGGCTGCACTCATCAGGTTCATTCCCGTTAAATCACCCTACTGAGAGGTGTTTAAACAATGTAGTGGGGCTACTTTTTTTCATTCACTGCTCCCTTGGGAGTATAAAAAATAAAAGTGATACTGACTTACTGCACATCTTTGGTATATACAATTTCTAGATAGTTTGAACACACACTTGATTAACCACTTACTCTAGTCATTAACATTACGTGAGGTATAGCTCACTTTGGTATATATACATTTTTAGAACTCTAACATTAAATTATAGCTCACTACACACATCATGTTTAGTTAAAATTTTGAAAACAAGCAGCTCGAAATGGAAAAAGAAACAATTAAAAGCCCAACAATACCACGAGGGGACGTTTTGTTTAAAATGTTTGTAAAGTATTGGCGCGACAATGAGACAACGCCAGAGTTTGATGGAATGTCGCTGTGCCAAAATGTAGATCTATTAAAAAACGAAGTAAGTTTTCACATTTGCTCTTCAGTATCGTATCAGTTAATTCATTTCGCACCCAAGTTCACATTTTTTAACCAACAGCAGTTCAATTTAGCAGTAAAATCAGAGTATGGAGTTTATGAGTGATGTTACTTATCTGTCAGTGGTTGTCTGACAACTGTTCTTTCTGAATACATTCTGCTTCATTTTATAAAGCAACTCTAATTAATCCATAGTTTCTAAATATGACTCAATTTTATCAGTTTGGCTTTTCTATAAAGTGCTTATCTTTTTTATACCAAGGTATCAATTTCATTCTTTACTTAAAACATACACGAATCAAGTTACACAACTGTCTTTTCATTTGTAACATAAGTAACTGGACATGTTTGGAGAAAGGAGTTTTTCACTCAATACGATGGTCCTGTATATTTCCTTCTAATTCCTAAAAAAATGGACATATCAGTACAAAATTCAACCCATTTTCAGAATCAAAACAAAAAAATACATTTTTTAGTAACCGTATTTTTTCCCCGTTTCTGTTGCTTACATATGTGAGGGTAGTCTAAATTTTAATAAATATATTCCCCAAAGAAGAGGAATTTATTTTCGCTAATAGAATAGTAATAAATGACTATTATAGAACTATCCGTGAAATAACTGCTTATATAATTAGGGAACTATGTCCATACATCGGATAAAATAATACATAGTATATATTTATTCAATAATGTGCATATCTCGAGTTATCATTGCTGAGCGAATGGAGAAGTACCCATTTTTGCATGAAAAAAATGAAGTATTTCAGAAATGGTAAAGTAGACTTAAGTTTTCAGTTCCGCTACACCCGATGACACTACACCATGACCGTTTACATATGTTTCATTATAAACATTTATAACATCAATACCGCTGATTTTGCAGATTACTCTTCACGATGGTAGCGTCAGACTGCTCAGTGTAAAACGATTTGTGCCCTCGCACGAAGAAGGTTGCAGCACGTTTAGGGGCATCTCGACGGCAGCCACGCTGACGGAAACCTGGTCCCAGTACTCGGGAAAATGTATGTATAATATTATGTAATACCTGTAATATAAATGTTCAATTCATAGAAAATACAAAACATATTTACCATTTCTCCACATTGTACTTGGTTGTGCATGGAATCTTGAAAGATGGTACTTGTTGTTTCCCTGCCTGGCACGGCATTAAGGGGCTAAAAACTGCTCTGCTCGGCTCGGAGTCATTGTACTGTGTCTGAGTGAGGTATTCATGTTAAACTGCGGCATGGTATCTCAGTGGGCTAATACTACAAAATCGGCATTAGTCGGGACAAGTACAAGCAGACACACACGAACGCACGCACGCACACATCAACTTTTGTTAAAATTTTGAAAACAAGCAGTAACAAATAAAAGCTCGACAATGCCACGAGGAGACGTTTTGTTTAAAATGTTTGTTAAAGACTTGAAAACATGTAGTTTTATGGGCGCGACAATGAGACAACGCGACAGTTTGGTGGAATGTCGCGTTGCCACAATGTAAATCTTTTAGAAAACGAAGCAAGCTCTTTTGTATCAAATCAATGTTAACTGTCATATGATACGGCTCAATTTGTAATATCTTTAAACCCTGAAATAAACTGAATTTACCTTATGGTTTAAACGTGTAATATATGAATGTTTACCGGACCATATGAATACTTGTTTTTGGAAGGACGACAACGCACAACGCGACACTGTCTCTACTAGGATTCCATAATTGTGATATTTTGTAACTGCTACCATGACACTATTATCTATTATTACAGTCATACATGTGCCAGCGGCTGACCAGGAGGCCCTTGACTCGGATGTGCACAGTAAGTAAAATAAAATGTCGCTAGTGTTTATTTCTTATGTTTATCAATAACCTGGTAAATACGATTCATGTCAAATTTAACATTCACTGATAGAACTCTTTGATCATGCGTGCTGAAGAGAATAGCTTTCATAAAAAATACGCCTAAAGGATTGCTACAAATGGTACTTATATAATAAATTAACTTTATTTGTTTATTTCGTGAAAATCGAACCTGTAATGCATGAGTGAAATGTTTAATTATAAAGTGATCTGAACTCTGCCGAAACGATACAGATTTTTATATTAAAGTGAATTCATTTACGGATGTCCCCCTTTTCAGTTGCAGATAGACCCAATACCACCTTCAAAGTTACCAAGCGAATTGTAATGGACACATGCCGGCCGGAAGACAAAATAGGTAATTGTGTTTTATCTATACCATATACTTGTATTTTCTTGCGCATTTGAAAATGTTGTGACCGATGTTTACCTATGGGCGCATTCATCTATAATTAAAATGGTCAAGTAGTAGAGCGTCTGCCCGGATAGCGGAATTTCAGGTGCTCTATCCCAGGCCGTGTCATACCAAAAGACGTCAAAATATGGTATTTGATGCTACCCTGCCTGGCGCTCGGCATTAAGGGACTAAAACAAGGACTGGTCAGGTCGGAATCAGTATACTGTGTCTGAGTGGAGTATTCATGTTAAACTGCGGCATGGTATGTCAATGGGCCAACACTACAAACAAGGCATTAGTCGGGACTAGTACAAGCAGACACACACACACGCGCGCTCGCGCGCGCACACACTGACACAAACACACACTGACACACACATTCACACATTGAGACACACACACACGTACGTGCAAGCTCGTCGCTATATAAGTACAATGATCTTACACCCCATTCATATCATCTCACCTATTATGAAAGATCATGATTTGTTAAAATTGTGAAAGTAAGCAGTAACGAATAGAAGCGCCGCAATGTAACGAAGCCACGATTGGAAATGATTATTATAATATTGAAAATATGCAGAAATATGGGCTCGACAGCGCGACAGTTCAATGGAATGTCGCTTTGCCGCATTGTCGCTCTTTTAAGTCAAGTTTTCGCGTATGCTCATTTGTATATTTGTCCTTTTAATGTCTGTGTTTCAGTTTTTGTGTGTATACCGCAGTATTTGAATATGTGTACGCACTAACAAGGTCAGCTATTATTTGATCGGCTCAATTTGTAATATCTTTAAACCCTGAAATAAACTGAATTTACCTAATGGTTTAAACGTGTAATATATGAATGTTTACCGGACCATATGAATACTTGTTTTTGGAAGGACGACAACGCGACACTGTCTCTACTAGGATTCCATAATTGTGACATTTTGTAACTGCTACCATGACACTATTATCTATTATTACAGTCATACATGTGCCAGCGGCTGACCAGGAGGCCCTTGACTCGGATGTGCACAGTAAGTAAAATAAAATGTCGCTAGTGTTTATTTCTTATGTTTATCAATAACCTGGTAAATACGATTCATGTCAAATTTAACATTCACTGATAGAACTCTTTGATCATGCGTGCTGAAGAGAATAGCTTTCATAAAAAATACGCCTAAAAGATTGCTACAAAAGGTACTTATATAATAAATTAACTTTATTTGTTTATTTCGTGAAAATCGAACCTGTAATGCATGAGTGAAATGTTTAATTATAAAGTGATCTGAACTCTGCCGAAACGATACAGATTTTTATATTAAAGTGAATTCATTTACGGATGTCCCCCTTTTCAGTTGCAGATAGACCCAATACCACCTTCAAAGTTACCAAGCGAATTGTAATGGACACATGCCGGCCGGAAGACAAAATAGGTAATTGTGTTTTATCTATACCATATACTTGTATTTTCTTGCGCATTTGAAAATGTTGTGACCGATGTTTACCTATGGGCGCATTCATCTATAATTAAAATGGTCAAGTAGTAGAGCGTCTGCCCGGATAGCGGAATTTCAGGTGCTCTATCCCAGGCCGTGTCATACCAAAAGACGTCAAAATATGGTATTTGATGCTACCCTGCCTGGCGCTCGGCATTAAGGGACTAAAACAAGGACTGGTCAGGTCGGAATCAGTATACTGTGTCTGAGTGGAGTATTCATGTTAAACTGCGGCATGGTATGTCAATGGGCCAACACTACAAACAAGGCATTAGTCGGGACTAGTACAAGCAGACACACACTCACGCGCGCTCGCGCGCGCACACACACTGACACACACATTCACACATTGAGACACACACACACGTACGTGCAAGCTCGTCGCTATATAAGTACAATGATCTTAAACCCCATTCATATCATCTCACCTATTATGAAAGATCATGATTTGTTAAAATTGTGAAAGTAAGCAGTAACGAATAGAAGCGCCGCAATGTAACGAAGCCACGATTGGAAATGATTATTATAATATTGAAAATATGCAGAAATATGGGCTCGACAGCGCGACAGTTCAATGGAATGTCGCTTTGCCGCATTGTCGCTCTTTTAAGTCAAGTTTTCGCGTATGCTCATTTGTATATTTGTCCTTTTAATGTCTGTGTTTCAGTTTTTGTGTGTATACCGCAGTATTTGAATATGTGTACGCACTAACAAGGTCAGCTATTATTTGATCGGCTCAATTTGTAATATCTTTAAACCCTGAAATAAACTGAATTTACCTAATGGTTTAAACGTGTAATATATGAATGTTTACCGGACCATATGAATACTTGTTTTTGGAAGGACGACAACGCGACACTGTCTCTACTAGGATTCCATAATTGTGACATTTTGTAACTGCTACCATGACACTATTATCTATTATTACAGTCATACATGTGCCAGCGGCTGACCAGGAGGCCCTTGACTCGGATGTGCACAGTAAGTAAAATAAAATATCGCTAGTGTTTATTTCTTATGTTTATCAATAACCTGGTAAATACGATTCATGTCAAATTTAACATTCACTGATAGAACTTTTTGATCATGCGTGCTGAAGAGAATAGCTTTTATAAAAAAAAACAATACATGATTGCTACAAAAGTTACTTTTATAATAATTTAAGCTAATTTGTTTATTTCGTGAAATTTGAGCTTATAATGTATATAATGTTAAATCATAACGTGATTTGAACTCTGCCGAAACGATACAGATCTTTACTAAATTCATTAACGGATGTATATGATTTACCTCTTTCCACTAAACCTTTCAGCTATTTTGATGTTATTGATTGAAATAAAGAAGATATACATCATTTGTGAAAAAAATAATGTCATGAAAACATTTTCAACAATTATTTTGTAAATTTCAGATGATTCACCAGTCAAGAAATTCAAGACAGATCATAGAGGTAACCTGTTTTCTCTCTTTAAAAGTCACACATAATCAGATACATATGTGAACAGTAAAAATTTCAAATTACGATGTACTTAACATATGCCATTTAATGTACAGGTTCATATGTCACAATGTTGACATGGTCTCTGGGATAATGAAGCCTTGATTTCTTTAGATCTGTACGCGTACAATGTTGAATGTTCCCCTTTTTATTTGTAGATAGACCCAGTACATCCGTCCAAGTTATAAAACGAATTGTGATGGGCATATGTAGACCGCAAGACAAAATCGGTAATTGTGTTTTATATATCATACATACATACATACATACATACATACATACATACATACATACATACATACATACATACATACATACATACACGTACGTATTTATTTATTTATTGTTGTGTTTATATACATATCTTCACGTATACGATCGACCGAAGAGACACATAGTTGTTTACTAATACATATAATTAAACATTTCAGTGATTCCTACAAAGAAAGTCACAGGCAACTTAATCTTGAAGGACTCGGGTAAATATAAAAGTTACACAAAGTTCACCAAATCTACCTAAAACCATTATTAATTCCATGAGTAGATTCTTTTAAGTTCCATATATTTTCCGTTATTCCCTGTCTTATCATTTGTAATATTTGTATACTGTAAATCTTGAAGTTAACGCGAGCGTGAATTAAATGCGAAAAATGCGAGTTATATATTTTTTCTGAATATCAGGTGATGGTTTTCCATCATTATACAAACCGCCACTAACCGAGTCATACTTTTCTTGGAGACGGAAGAATCACTTATAGAAGGAGCAGTTAAACATTTGCTTCATACCACATATGCTTCCTTTTCGTAAAACCCGAGGCAAAATTATTTCCTCAAGTATTTTATGTTGCAATTATGTGTCTGAAAAGACATCCCAGTATTATTATGATGCAACTTATTTGCAGATTTATCTGTCGGTACCATGCAGTTAAGTGACGTTTTCATAGCCTAATATCATATACATGTATTTTCCCTTAATCCACAGCGCCAACAGTCCCACCCGGTATAGACAGGGGTACAATGTGCCATGAAGGTAAGAGTAACTTGTCAAAAGTAGCATTCGAATAAGTAACGTCTTCAGTTGCATTACGAATGGGAAGCAATATTTTTCACCTGGATCTCAGTATTAATTTCTGATATATTTATATTTTATATTTCAGGTCAAAGAATGGTACTTGGGGACTCGCTATGCAGGGGGATTGCGGGCGATATACCCAACTGTATAGTCTTGAGCAAACCCGGATCTAACCTTAAGCGAATGCACCAAACCATAACCAATTTAAATGTAAAGTCTTATCGCTCTATTTTGTTACATGTAGGGACAAATGACATTTCTTCCTTTAATCCACATCGATTTCTCTCTGAATATATGACACTCATTAAATACTTAAAATCGATTAACCCTGATGCCGTTATAATGTGTTGTGACATTATTCCACGCATCAGGGATTTCAGCACAACACAGAGGGTGGTAATCCATGCGAACAATATCATAAGGCATGTGTGCACTGTTCTTAGATGTAAAAATGTGCGAACATCCAAAAGATTTTTATATTTGGGAACAGGTGGACCAAGGCACTATCTATATTGTTCGGACGGATTACACCTGAATGATAAAGGGAAGTATCAGCTGAAAAGGTCATTTGCCCAAGCCCTATCACATGCCCATCAGTAAAGATTTGCTTTTGTCCTAGTCATCCTATTTAGAACTGTTTAAAAGAATTAATATATTCACTAGTTTATAAGAAATTTGAAAAATAGTTTTCTGCTGATATTTCCATTTATTTCCTTATTTATTTTAGCTTATGTCGTAATTTATAGGATTTTTATGCTTTTCAAAATATGGTCAGAATAACACTCTTATAGTCCCTACCTACATTTATTTAATGCTTATGGTAACAATCTTGTTCGTAGTAAATTGAGGTCTGTATTCTGATGTACTTAGACACTATTTATTCTCGCAGTTATTGTAGTATGTGTCTTTGCAATTCTTAGTTACTGTTTTCTGATTAATTGTAACCAATAGTCATGCCCGGTAAAGTGAATGTTGTGATAACTAATTTCCCTTCCCTTCTCAGGACATTTTAGACCTATCCATATTATGTTGTTTTGGATTGTACTATGCATAACCCAAAAAGTATAACATTTAAATATCGTGTAGAAATCATTGCAGACCTTACGCAGCAAATTGTTATGTGAACTGTAACGTATGTTATATTTGGGATTACACTGTCTTATCAAAGTACACGTTCTGATACTTTTTAGGGTCCCCATGTCATTTGTCCCTACTTGCACTTTCGTTATGTGAACTGTCCAGTAATACTGATTTAAAAATAATAAACTTTCCTCTTATTTTGGTTAGTTTCCATATTCCAGTGCTAAAAAGTATTTGATTATACATTTCTCTGTTTTTCTTCCAATTTTTCCGATATAAACAAACGATCTAATCTTTCATTTTGGACTAGTTTATCTCCATGAATACTAGTAACTTCTTCTTGTCATATTGGTGTATTTCCAAGCACGTATCTATTAACGATGTTGTTCATATTACCTTTTTGTTTTATTTACTTTTTGTGGTTAAAGCTGATTCATCTGCAGCATTCATCTCGCCACACAAGCATAAGTAATCTGTCTCAAACCGAGAAAGATTATTGAAAAAGCATAGACTATCTGAATTTGGACCATATGGGAAAATCAAAGACAGCGTTATATGTAAAAAAAAGTAGAAACATTAAAAGCCATAACAAATCGTTAAAAAACAGTCTGCAATAGCCTCGAAAGGTAGATACTTATAGAGGGCGTGGAAGTCCGTTCACACTTTAGTGTCCAGAAGTTCTATATGACTTTATACTATATATGTTAAACATTTCGTACTTTAAATGTGATGACGAACGCGAAATCCCCTATAAAGGAGCTCTCCATAGACAATTTGTTTGGATTCTTTGAAGGCTAATTCTAGATATTGTGACGGTTTGAATACGAAAAACCGTGTTTGGAAAACAGGGACGGAAGGATGCTAAACCTTTGAATTATGTCACTTTCTATTTTCTTAGAACTATTAAGATGTCCATCTACACCTTTGTTGCAGAGAGTATCTTTCTAGCTAGTCTAACTTTATTTGAAAAAATCGTTGAAAAATGGTCTCCAAAAGTCTGTTCATGATATTTATAGAAGGCGGGCATTATGGTCTCGAAAAGTAGGTTGGTGATATTTATATAGGGCGCGGAGGGTTTGGAAAACAGGAACGGAAAGGTGCTACACCGGGGTATATTGTCACTTTCTTTTTTTTATAGAGTTATTAAGATGTCCATCTACACTTTTGTCGCAGAAAGTATCTTTCTAGCTTGTCTAACCTAATTTTTAAAAATCGTTGAAAAATGGTCTCCAAAAGTCTGTTGGTGATGTTTATAGAAGGCGGCCATTATGGTCTCGAAAAGTAGGTTGGTGATATTTATATAGGGCGTGGAGGATTTGGAAAACAGGAACGGAAAGGTGCTACACCGGGGTATATTGTCACTTTCTATGTTTGTTTAGATTTTTAAGATGTCCTTCTACACTTTTGTCGCAGAAAGTATCTTTCTATCTTGTCTAAATTAATTTTTAAAAATCGTTGAAAAATGGTCTCCAAAAGTCTGTTGGTGATGTTTATAGAAGGCGGCCATTATGGTCTCGAAAAGTAGGTTGGTGATATTTATATAGGGCGTGGAGGGTTTGGTAAACAGGAACGGAAAGGTGCTGAACCGTGGTATCTTGTCACTTTCTTTTTTTTATAGAGTTATTAAGATGTCCATCTACACTTTTGTAGCAGAAAGTATCTTTCTAGCTTGTCTAAATTAATTTTTAAAAATCGTTGAAAAATGGTCTCCAAAAGTCTGTTGGTGATGTTTATAGAAGGCGGCCATTATGGTCTCGAAAAGTAGGTTGGTGATATTTATATAGGGCGTGGAGGGTTTGGAAAACAGGAACGGAAAGGTGCTAAACTGGGGTATATTGTCACTTTCTATTTTTAATAGAGTTATTAAGATGTCCATCTACACTTTCGTCGCAGAAAGCATCTTTCTAGCTTGTCTTAATTAATTTTTAAAAATCGTTGAAAAATGGTCTCCAAAAGTCTGTTGGTGATATTTATAGAAGGCGGCCATTATGGTCTCGAAAAGTAGGTTGGTGATATTTATATAGGGCGTGGAGGGTTTGGAAAACAGGAACGGAAAGGTGCTAAACCGGGATATATTGTCACTTTCTATTTTTATTTAAATTATTTATATGTCCATCTACACTTTTGTCGCAGAAAGTATCTTTCTAGCTTGTCTAAATTATTTTTTAAAAATCGTTGAAAAATGGTCTCCAAAAGTCTGTTGGTGATGTTTATAGAAGGCGGCCATTATGGTCTCGAAAAGTAGGTTGGTGATATTTATATAGGGCGTGGAGGGTTTGGAAAACAGGAACGGAAAGGTGCTAAACTGGGGTATATTGTCACTTTCTATTTTTTATAGAGTTATTAAGATGTCAATCTACACTTTTGTCGCAGAAAGTATCTTTCTAGCCTGTCTAACTTAATTTTTAAAAATCGTTGAAAAATGGTCTCCAAAAGTCTGTTGGTGATGTTTATAGAAGGCGGCCATTATGGTCTCGAAAAGTAGGTTGGTGATATTTATATAGGGCGTGGAGGGTTTGGAAAACAGGAACGGAAAGGTGCTAAACTGGGGTATATTGTCACTTTCTATTTTTTATAGAGTTATTAAGATGTCCATCTACACTTTTGTCGCAGAAAGTATCTTTCTAGCTTGTCTAACTTATTTTTAAAAAATCGTTGAAAAATGGTCTCCAAAAGTCTGTTGGTGATATTTATAGAAGGCGGCCATTATGGTCTCGAAAAGTAGGTTGGTGATATTTATATAGGGCGTGGAGGGTTTGGGAAACAGGAACGGAATGGTGCTAAACTGGGGTATATTGTCACTTTCTATTTTTTATAGAGTTATTAAGATGTCAATCTACACTTTTGTCGCAGAAAGTATCTTTCCAGCTTGTCTAAATTAATTTTTAAAAATCGTTGAAAAATGGTCTCCAAAAGTCTGTTGGTGATGTTTATAGAAGGCGGCCATTATGGTCTCGAAAAGTAGGTTGGTGATATTTATATAGGGCGTGGAGGGTTTGGAAAACAGGAACGGAAAGGTGCTAAACCGGGATATATTGTCACTTTCTATTTTTATTTAAATTATTTATATGTCCATCT